GTTCGATAAAAATCAAATATTCTCTTTGTGGATATACTTACTACAATATGGCGTATCTTTCCCAGTAGTTATGAAATACTTGGAACCCGGTGCATGGTTTGGTCTTACTGTATTTAAGCCCATTATGGCACATCCTGTATCATTCTCCTTGCACGAGAAACATTTACCCTTAAACATAATATAAATTAAATTCTAGTCGTAACACGAATACACGTCATGATGAATTGTTAATTCGATGCAGACTTAAGTTGGTTGTATTCATAATTTATTATTTCTCATAGGTAGTTAAAACACATTTTTCTTAGTTCTCCAACCGATAAATAATTGTATAGATTATTGTGCAATAACATTAGAGCGAGGATATTTTAACGTAATATGTACTTATTATAATAATATGTAAACATTACAGGGGAAATCCAAATAATATTGAGTACATTTCGTAACTTAAAATATAGTATGCACAAGATCTATAAGAAATATGCAAATACCGAATTACACTTCATATCATGACGTAACAAAACATTTTTTTATATTTATCTTATTAAGACTTCCAGACTTTGTTTATTGTGCACTTATTTATGTATAATTTAATAAACACTCAAAAATGTGTTTGTAAAAATTAAATACCTGAGAATTTTCGTTCTAAAATTTATATATTAAGTACACAGTTTTTTTTAATTACCTGTAAGAAGTTTTGATACGAGTTGCATTTGTGTGCGACGTATGGACATTTTGAGTTTATAGACTCGATGAACAGTTTTATGGCTCTTACGTGATTACAAGCAACTAAAACACGACTTGCTTCTTCAATTCCCTCTTTGATGAGAGTGAGAGGTAATGGAGTTTCCGTTAGATCACAGCCAGGCTGTTCCTTACCGTTGTTTGGATAAAAGTCAATGTGGCCACAAGGTTCGCTCATCCCGTACCCTAAATAAATATATATATGAAAGTTAAACGTTTACTATTAGGAGTGTTTTACTCAAGTTTAAGGGGAAATGTGAGTATCTATTCTCATCGGTTGATGAATTTAACTATTGAAATCTATATTTATAACTGACTGTTTTTTAAAAGGTCACCTATATAATAAATTAATATAGGTCAATATATCTGCTTTACAAAAAAAAAAAAATAATCATAATAAATAATAACGATTATACGATTATTTGGGTATGATTATTTGAAATGTTCATAATATATGTATAGGTATATTATTATTTCTCGAAAAACTATTCCATATTTGCCTAAATAATATTATTTATATTTTTAATTTGTCGCTAGCTCTTTGAAATCATTAATAAATTTAATATTTAAACTTGAATAATTTAATTAGATTTTCATAATTATTCAAAATTTATACACATTTTTATCACATTGTTTTTTTTTTATTCCTTCATTTTATTATTTGTTGGACAATAATAGGTATAAAGTAATATCATCGACAATTTAAACAAAACGATTCCGTATTATAGTATAAGATTATATATTTATATAGTAGTCCAGGTACACAGCATTATAAATATTTTTTATTTGTACACCATACCAACAACTATTAGAGTTGAACCCCTCAACTCATGATTTTTAAAACTTTATCAAATCGGTAGGTATATCGAATTGACGAAAGGTTAATGAATAACCGAAATTGTAAATAGCTCATATATTAATTCTTTTCGGTCTGCAGGCAATCAAACGAACGGTTTAAAAATACGCTTGCAAATAACGTTTGCAAACTGTATTCTAAAGTGCACCGATACTTACCCAACAGAAATATGGAGGACCCGTCAGTGTGTATGACATCCACAAGTTGCGCATCGGAAGGGTCCAGTCTGGAGTGTGAAGGCATTCCTTGGAAATATGGTTCAGCAGGATCTAGTCCCGTGATTCGTCCTAGCCCTTCGATCCTTTCACCGGCGTACCCGGCAGTGTGAGCGCCCAGACTGTGTCCTATCAGATGAACATGTTTCGGATTTAACCCCACGTTATCCTAATACGTTACAAATAGAAAAAAAAAACAATAATAATAACACAAGTATTAGGACCAATAGTAAGAGTGGAAAATATTTTTGATTAAACTTTTTATTTTATTTTTATTATTGTTGTTATCAGTAGGTACAATACAATAGGTATGCTTATATTTTGTTATTATACCGTTCATATAAATCAACGATTTATGAACATTTTTTTATCAGAACTTATAGAGGTCACAAACACTTTTCGTTTAAGCATTTAGAAATAATCCGATGTGAACGAAATTGTGCGACGAGTCGGAACGATAAAATAATATGATAGTAGGTACAGTTAAAAAAGTAAAAACGGTTTAAAACCTGATATAACTTAATGCATGTTATATAACTGAAAAACATAAATAACAGCTGTTACCGTAATAATATTACACAATATAGTAAATAATAAATACATAATTAAATATGCATTTCCTTAAGTTTTGAACGATTGTGAACCAAGTACAATTATTATTGGACCATGGATATTTTAAATATAAATTTATATTAAAATAACTAATTCATACCGCGTATTTTAGTAATCTATAGAGTCACTAACTTTTTATTTCATACTTTTAATCATCTGTCCACGATAATATCAGTAACTATAAAATGTCTGACGTCTGTACTTGATTATAATGAAGTAATTTCTTTACTTCATACAGTTGTTAATCTAACGATTGAATCCATACATTTTAATTTCTTAAATAGGTATACAAGATTATGACGTATGCAATGGTCGTATAAAACCTTTATAAACATATCACATGTTATATAATATTATTGTATAAACGTAACAATTTATATTATTTATAATCATTTTGTGGTTAATCTATATTGAACGTGTGTGGTTTTATACAAAAATCAACTAGGTAGATATAAAATTTCCTTTTAAAATACCTACCATAAAAAATAAAAAATAATAATAATAACGAGTACGCTAATATTCTGCAGGTTTCATAATAGGATCTTTTTTTTTTTTTTTTTTATTGAACAAACATAATATATTTACAATCTGTATTTACAAGTGATACAATAAGTAAATGTGATGATTTTTGGTAAACAGGAGGGGGAAGTCACCCAGTGGCGGCACCCCGTTCAATAGGATCTTATGTATGAATTTGTGAAAATGAAATATAAACAACAATAAGTATTAATTTTTAATTTTCTAGTGAAATGCACAAATAATATATTCAAACATACATTGTATTTACTTTACACGATTCTGAATAGATTCAATTATTATAGTGAATAATATATTAAATAATTCAGTGATAAAAAACTATCAAAGAGCATTTGGTTTTTTAAAATATTCCTATATTTATATACGTATAATAATATATATTATGTATATTTTTTTATTACTGGTATGGCTACCAACAATATTTTATGCGCGTTTATCGATGTTGTTTTAATTCGTATAAATGAGCATCTTTCGTCTCCGTTCAATCGATCCAATAATATGTGCTTAATGCTAATCCAACCCATTACATTACTTTTAAATAGTTGATGAAATAGGCGATTTCTAGTCCCACAAGCCGCGTATTGGCTGTTGCCTGCGTGTATAAAGGCAACGACCCGCCGGCCCAGTCCACTACAATTACATTCCAATCAGAATGTTTCAGAAGTTCTCTCCTCATTTCCTATGGACGAAACAAATGTAAATAGGTACATTAAATAACGATAAGTTTATATTGTTTTCATGAATAACTATTTAATTCAGTATTGTAACCCGTACACTGTTTTTGTATATGTTTTGGGTTAAGCCCGTGTGTATAATATTATTGTAAAAATAAATTAATAAACTTCAAGAAGAAAGCTAAAGGATTTTAGCCAACAGCTGAATTCATTAATAAATTATTAACTTGAAATAATAAATTGATTTTAAATCATCTCAAGGACGAGCCATCGGTGCTATTAGTTTCATTTCGTAAGCACCCCTTTTCCTTAAATGGGAATCGGAAATAATTTTAAATGTTAACAATATAAAATCTGATTACAAAAACGGCCTCGTCTTCAAAAATAAATATGAATTAATTGCATTACGAATAATTAAAAGCGATTTTATTATCACTATTATTATTATTATTGTTATTATTATATTATGTTAACAGTTACCTTGACCCAATTGCTCAAAGGCGTGTCTATAAAACCGTGTATAATAAATTTTGTAGGTTTTTTGGGATCAAAATTGGACTTCTGTATTGTTTTCTCCGATTGTACTTTCAGCATTTGACCCTAAAAAAAAACACTTTTGTTATAGAAATACCTAAGTTTCCGGTTCCGTTTTCAATACTCATCAATGTTTAATAATTACTATAGAATAATTAACTATACTTAACTTAACAATACTACAATTTTAATTTTAGCTTTTAAAAATATCAAACAACAAAACAATCAAGCTATTATACAGTATTCAATACAAAAACTAATTTTTCAACTAATTACGATTCATGTACAAAAATATTATATAAATATAATTGTATTTTTATTATGTCTATTAAAACAAATTATTGTTCTAAATTTAAAGTACCTAATGTCAACAAATTATAAATGTAGAGAATCTACTATGATTTAATAAATCAAAATAGATTAATTAGGTATATAAAATAAATGATAATAATTATACTTTTATTAAGTAAAACACTAATTTTATAGTTAAAATGTAAAATAAAGATAAATTATAATTGATTTTAAGTTATTATAACAAGAACAACCAATAGGACACAGGTATAATATTATACTTGACACTTGTGCAATGATAATACTGTAGCTGGTGAAAGGGAATAAAATATAAATTCCAATGATTCAGTACAATTTTATTTTTCGAACATTTTAACAGATTTTTATAAACCCATATCTGAATGGTTTAATCTAAGGAAGTCAATTTAATTTTGTTTTTAATTTCTTAAGCTAATATTTAAAAATGAATAATTGTTTAAATTGTATACATATAATAACTTATAGGTCCTAATTTTGTTATTTCCGAAGGGGATAATTTTATTATGGTAGTAACTGTATTTGTTATCAATTACCTAACCAAAATAGTTAAAATAAATCCCTTTATTCCTGTAATACTATGTAATTTGTTTCAAAAATAATAAATAAACAGTCTTTAATTGATTGATTAAATATATAAGACATTTTGAAAATTGTTCTATGAAAGCTCGCCTTGTTGTCTGAACTCTAAATAAAATAGCTATCTTCATATGTATTTTTTTTATTAAGTTTTAAAAATGTTTTATTCACTTACACTTAAACTTAAAATATATATAGTTACCTGTAATGGATTTTTTCTCGTGTACAATATAAACCGTGTGTCGATGACTTGCCTCGCTAATGGAAACACATTGAACGGCCGATAAATAAGATGATACCAATCTCGGGTGATATTTAAACACCCTAGTTCGTCGTAACATCTTGTTTCGTTTTCAACTGAAAATTAAAAGTTAAATCATCTTTATTTAAGGAATAGGGAGAATATAATATGGTATCCCATAATACAATTTAAATCTTATTTTATTGTGTGCAATTATAAATCATAAAAACCTCACAGTTGTACATATTATAATATGATTGATTTTAAATTTTGCACATTAAATTATATAAATTATATAAAAATTATATTTATTTATATAATATTATGCTTGATTAGTATTATTTTAGTAAATCAATCATAACCTAAGTATGATCATAATTGTTTGACCAATAAGTAAGATACATTTTGAATATTTTTTTCTAAAAACAATTTAGTAATTCAACTAGGCAAGTTAATATTATCGTTTTAAATGTACTAATGAGATTACAACGGAAGTTTAAGAACTATTCAACAACTCGCTTTTTAAACAATTTTAATTCGATAATTCACTTATACTGAAGTTAAATATATTTTTTCTTGTATAGAATATTAAAATGTATTACCTTTTAGAAACTTAATTGTAAAATATACATAATGTATGCATATTATATATCTAAATCATAATATCATTATAATATTGTCTAACAAATAATATACATATTATATAGAATTATATATTTTTCCCATGTATTTTGAAGTCAACATTACATACTTAGATTATAAAACAATAACTAGGATCATTATTTGTGTGTGATAAATAAATAATTATAGAAAACGTATTTCGATGATTGGTAATTGCAGTAAAAAAAAATATTGACAATTATTGTCACTGTTAACATTGATTTTATAATATAAAATCAATGCTGTTAGTATTTATTAATTTTAAACTCAAAAAACAATGTTTATTTAAACCTGGATGTAGTTGACTATGTAGAAACATATTTTATTTTATGAAGGGAGGATGATTTATGTAAATTATTGATGCATTGTGTACGTTGATTGTTGGGAAATATATAGCAATTTTGTTTATATACATTTTAAATTATGATAATTGTTTTAAATTGTGGTAAATAATTCAGGGATTAAGGCAGTTACACTAAGCACAAAATGAACTCAACACGATATTGCATCTAATTCTCTACTTTAGCTGCCCGAACTATTTACCTAAATAGTAAACTTGCATGTATATAGGTACATACGTAAATCCAATTCTAGTTTTCTATATATTAAATTCAAAAGTTCACAAATGTTGGAAAACAAGGTTCAGGTTTTTTTTTGTATTTAAAACGTTACTAAAAACTTGAAAATGTAATGCAAGGTTCATAATAAGTTGTTTTAATAGCAGTTTAAAAATATTAAAGATACATGGTAAGATTGTTTTTTATTTGCATTTAAAATTTAATTTTGGACAAAATTCATCAAAATACCAAACATTTGCAAATTATTTTTCAGTTAGAAATTTATAAAATTTTTATTTTTATTGCTAACATTAGACATTTTAATAGAAACTTCCCAACAAGTTTTTCTACCTTTATCAAAAAAGAAAAAAAAATGTTCACTGGAGAATATAACATTAATCTTATAAGCGTTTGAATTTAAAATGTTTACTATATTTAATTTTCAGTGGTATTTAATTATTAAATTTGATTATTTATACAAGTATGCTATAGGATGACATACCGTCTCAGCTCAGAATAGCTTTTCCCTGTGCAATGATTTATCATTTGTACAGCAGAGAGGTACCAACTTGTCCACATTTTTTTGAGCGTTATGTTTTAAAAATCTTTAACACATACACAAATCATAATACAATAAATAATGCTGTCCATAAAAAAACCCATAGTAAAATAGCACGGAAGTTCAAACCCATGTAACAGTTTTTTTTCTTGTTTTTTCACGTAGGTATAAATCATAGTAACATTTTTTTTTTAATAATATAACTGAAATAGGGACACGTATGACATATTACTACGCATTGCGGATAAAATAATGTTCACTAAATAGGTAGGTAGAATTAGAACAGTAAGTACACCTACAATTGTTTTAGTATCTACTTAAAGTGTAAAAAAAAAATGTCAACGTTAGTATTCAGACAACACCTATATGACAATACATTTTAATTGTTTATATGCTATTAACCTCAAAACATAATATATTTCTTAGAAAAATTACTAATTTTATTATAATATTATTTATTTACAAGTTTGACTATAGTTTGTATTATATTTATTTTGACAGATATTCAACTTTAAGACATAGGTTACGGATAATATTTTATATTCTGAGTAAATGTTCTATTGTATAATATATACATATTATTGGTTTTTCAACGAGGTTTTTTTTTTGTGAAAGTTCTTTTGTGTAGAAGTTTACTTAAAAAAAGTGTCATGTAGTATATTTTAATATCGGGAATCGAATCTAGGTGATAATAGGTACTTTGAGAATGTATTTTTATTTTCTCCATAGTTTCTCTAACATAGGAAAAAAAGCTACTGACAACAGTTAAAATATTAGCAAGCATAATTTCATTTGAGCTCAGTGTTATTTTTTAAATGCAATAATTTACTATTGTTTTAAAATTTAATAGCATGGTTTTTGTATAGAGGTGACCGGAACGTCAAACGATACTGGTATCGCTCGTCGTCACGGTAATATCCTATATCCGTATATATTTTTTTAATAATACAAATATGAAATATTATAAAATTTATATTTGCAATAGGTAGCCAAGTAGGTATATAAGGTTGTTCTAAAATAGTATGTATTATTAGCACTTAATATTAAGGGTATACAATGGGTATCGATATAGTATATCTAAAATCCACCAAGTATCGTTCTTCAAATAGTTTTAACTGGGTAGTTTGGATTAATGTACTATAAGTACTGTTTCAATAATGTGAATACACAATCAATTATATTAGTCTGTCTATAGCATGTTTTATGTGTTTTAACATTAATTTAAACAGTATAGGTACTAAATGGTTTTAGAAGATTTGTAAAAATAAATTGTCTATATGTAGATAGTCCTTGTTGAAAATGAAAGCAAATGTCAATAGTTCGATGATTTTTTAAAACTACCTATAATCTATTTCTTAGTTCCTTGTCATTTTTGAATACAACCATAACCATTTTACTTAAATTAGTTAAATATTTAAATGTGACATATGAGTATATGACCCAAAAACAATTACTTTACTAGGTATCTATTAAAAATCTATTTATGGTTCTACTACTGAGTTGCATAAAAAATAATAGATTAATTTAATGGTTCAATAAAATTTAATGCACCTAGGTATAACAAAATCATGTGCTACTAAATCATGTTTAAGAGACCATCAGTTAAATTGATTCCTTAAAATATATGATCAGTTATTGCTTATGCAACCCGGTATAATATGGTAATTAAAGTTAGACGAAAAACTTACATGGTAACCAGGGTATGTTGACCTCTATGTGGTTGGATCGTCCCCATTCGAGAATGCCCGCTGCGCCTGACCGCACAAACGTCGCGAGCGTCGCTATGCACAAAGCCACATGACCTCGGACCATACCTCCTGTTGATAAAAAAAAAAATTCATAAGCATGCTGATTTCTTATTAAATACACGCAAAACGCATTAGGCATCCTGATGAGTACTAAGTAACTATTGTTGTCACGAAGTCATAAAAAGATATTGATTGTTAGCGAATTATTCAAGGAATGTTATTGAGGTTGTACTTTAGTTCATTAGTTCATATAAAGTATGACTTTTGGAAACAACACTATTTAATCAAAAAAGCTGAAATTATCTCACTTATTGATCTAATAATGTATAGGTATATATTTATATCATGTATTAATTCGTAAAAGACAATAACTATTTTATACTTAAATTTAATCATATTCTTCCTCCATCAAATAAGACTACTATCGCTAGTTATGATTATTTTCAATATTGTAATAACGATGTACCTACCTAATAAATTAATATTTGTTAAATAAAACTATGACACGAAAGAATAAATCGATATAGATAAGTATTGTCCATTTGTATCCATTCTAGTTAGAAAAATATTATTACTTTTTACTTTATTTTTTATTTTTTCTTAAACTAAAGCTGATTGTATATATTTCAGATTCATCTCTTCTCTACATTGGTCTTCAAGTTATACTTAAAAAAAAAGTATACATTTTTGAAATGGCCCATGTTATTTTTTAGTAGAATATTCTCTGTATGCTTCTCGTTGTATTCAGTATAAAGTTTTAACATTAAATAGTAACTCTAGGTTACTCACATTAATACATTATCCACAAATACCTACACATAATATGTACGAATATTAATTTTTCATTAACATGAACAATGAACATATAGCACATAATACACATTTCAATTTTCTTGTGTTATTTTGTTATTTATTAAGTACATTTACTCCGGTTATTGGTTAATGCATAATGTACAGGTTATTCGTAGGTATATTAGAAGCGGATGTCCTTACTTGAGCAACACATATAACACTTGATTGGTGAGTAGGTATTGGATATGTTGAGGGATTAATAATTATTTATGAAACAAAAAATTTGAAAATAGTACATAACATGCATCGAGAAAAAACTAAAAAAGTCGAACATTTAAAATACCTAAATAGCACAAAAATAGCAGAAATATTTTGAAAAAATATTTCATGAATACTAATCCCATATATGAATATTTGATGAAAATTTTGAGTCTTCGAAATTTGATATTAATTTTTGAATTTTTTAGTTAAATAAAAAATCAATTTTTTCAAAAACTGGTTTTACGTAGAAATTGAAGTTTTTCTCATTGTAGTTGTTATATTGTTTTTCCAGATTATTTTTAAGAGTACTTGACACAATATTGACTTTTGATCATCAGAACCAACTATAGAATCAATTCGCTACACGAAACCACCATCAAAATAGAACTTCAAACATTTTTCTACTATAAAGTGACAGACAAACTTTTTTAAAATTTTTTACAAATTATAATTTCACCTTATCTAAATAAATAGATTATTTCACAATCTAAAATTTAAAAAAAAAATTAAATTATATAATATGTGAGACTGATTGAATTTCGGTTATGTATTAATAATATATTTTGTGGTATCTAAAGGATAACATGATTTTTATTCAGTATTTATATTTTCAACTAAATACAGCCATCTTTTTATGCAGGTGACTCATCAGAAATAATCAATAACACATATTATTTTGAGGATAGCCGTCACTGAGGCATATAAAGGTACAGAAACAGAATCACTCAAACGATACAAAAGTACAATAATCACATTCCACAATATTTTGTTATATGTAATATACTTTCATATTTACAAATGCGCTTAAAATAAAAAATGTACTAAGTTAAGATATAAGAAAGGTAATTTCTCCATAACATAATGACAATTTTAATTTTACAAATTGCATTGCTTTCTCAAAATGGGTTTTGAATAATTTGTATTGTGCTATTTATATATAAAGTATAAATCAGTTTCCCTTTATTCATAGGTACCCACCTAAATAAAAATATAAATTAATTTTAAAAATATTTACTAAACGTAAATATCATTATTTTATTTTAATTTATTAAAGATGATTAATCAGTACCTACCTACGACCTACCTAATCGTTTTGCTTATATTATGTTAATAACTTATAAAATCTGTAAATTGCATTACAAAAATATTTTTTAAAGTAAAATAAATACTCAATTTTCTGTTTATACTTTATAACATTATAGAACTTAAAAATATTGATAAAGGTAAGTATTTTTAAATCAAGATTTTTACACATTTGAATCATGTTTCGTTTTGAATATTAGTGTTTCTACTTTACTCTATTCACAATATTTTAATAACTAAATTTGAAATATTATCAAATATTTTATTAGAAAGTCGAAAGTTCCACATTGTATGAATTTAATCGTTGTATAACTAAAATAAAAAATACAATATGTATAGTTGTATAAAACCAGTTATATTTTCTTACCACAAAAATAGCTTTAAATTACTCTAAATGTTATGTACCCATTATTTCAGGTCCATTTTTTTATTAATTACATTTTAACTTGTATTTATATTAAATATTCTATTTCCATATGATATATTATTAAAATATTAACATATAAATATATATTTTATTATTATTATTATTATTTGATTAAAAATTCGAATAAAAATAAGTTTATATAAATATTAAATAAAAATAGGTAACAAGAAATAAAATAACAAAATAAGTTTAATAAATTGATAATGTCAAGAAGAATATTAAAGGTTTAGTTATTTTAAACCAATGCTTTTTAAATAGGTAATCTTAAATAAAATCTAAGATAATCTAAAATGTAAGTATCATTATTATTATGACAATATCAAGTAATTTACCTGAACTAAAATAGTATGATCCAAACACGATAGCAATAGTGCTATTGTCACGTTGGTGGTAGTTCAATAATGACTGATGAGTTATTTTATGTTATTTTACTGTCATTTAATCATAGAGGTGCCTATTCACAGGCGCTTATGATATTTTAGTAAATCGTTTTGACATTGAATGTCATATAAATATACTAAATTCGGGCATACCATTATTAATAAATGGGGAAAAAATATTTCAATAGTACTTACATTTTTGTATAATAATGTACAATAATTTAATTTAAATTAACTGTGGAAGATGGAAATACGAACAAACATAATAAACTAATTTACTATTGTAAAAGTAATTAAAATATTTTTAAGGTTTATCCACGATCAATATTTAAAATCTTCAAAACAACTTAATTTATGACAAAAATATTTAAAACTTTTGAATATGATTCATTTTATGCATATTATGTAATAAATTCTCATATTATTTGCACGAACCATTCAATTCACTAATTCACATATTTTATGCATATTCATTCAAAAACCTTTCAGTTGTAACCTTTCTAAGTTTATATAGATTTGGTTTTTATTACTTAAGGTATGATATTATTAAACCACTATGCGTCAAAAATATCATTACTTCGGGTTCCTTATACAGAATGATCAACCAAGCAGGCTCACCCCCGTTTTTTTTTAATAATGAATTTGTAAAATTCAAATTTTTGGAAATTTTAAATATACGACGTCTTAATGATGTATACAGTATACTATATATTTAAATTCATGAGATTATCTATACTAAATAATGAGTGTCCCGTGGATATAATTATTATATTTTCTACTTAGTTCAAAATTCAAACAAGTTCCTAGTTTTTCAGTTATTAAAATATTCGATAATAGACCTTAAAAACGGTTTCCCAAACATTTTGAATATAATATGTAATATTGGATCTAGCATGTATTACATTTGGACCATTTTTACAAATTATAATTTATGTTGGATAATTTTAATAAATGATAACTAAAATATTCAAATCACCATAGCCCTTATATAATCCGAATTCATTATCATTTACTTATTGTCATAATGTACATAAAGTTAAATAACTCAAAAATGATTCGTTCGGATTTTGATTTTGATACTTCATCGTTTTTGGAAAAATTATCCGATAAATAATATACAGTAGAAAAAGGAAGTTCTCAGTATGACTAAAAAATTGTTACTTAGCAATTTATGCATAGGATTAAAATTAAACTTTGAACTTTAAAGGTTGATATACCTAAAATACATTATTTTTAACTACTATTTAATTTGTTTGATTAAATTTAAACATTTAAATTTCTTTGACAAGAGTATTTATATTTTCAATAAAAGTGAATAATCGGACTATCAGAAACATACAATCTATATTATCCTAATTTGAGCTCAGAATCGTTTTTTTTTTTTTATTTGACGATGTTCTGTCATTGCAATATTATTATATTACTATATTAATATTCCTTTAAACAATTTAATTATCTTTATCAATGTATAAATGTATAATGTGTTACCTTAATACAAGGTTAAAAATTATATATTTTAGTAATAATTAATAAATGCCTGAAAATATATACAAATAGGTAATTGAATAATACTGAAAGGGACTACTATAAAATTATATTTCTATATCAATTCTATCACTAGGTGTATTCACTATATTATAAAATACAAGTTTTAATTATTATTAAACAGCTATTATGAAGATATCATATAATAATATCATATGTAGTGTATGTTGAAAATATAGTGCAATAGTGCATACTATAAAATATATTGCACAAAACACATTCTTAATATCATATTCAAGGACATAGTGTAAGTTTTACTAATAGATAACAATTTGTCCAATAGTAATTCAATAACTATTGAAAGTTAGTAGTTTTAAAATTATTAGAAAATGGCAAAATATACGTAAATTAAACAACTATTAGAAATAATATGAATTAGTTTATTTACTACTATAGCTTATCAGAATAATATTATACTATGTTAGATTCTTAGATTAACGGTTTGGTTTTTTAGTTATTAAACTCACCGTCCAGACAGAACCTGGTCCTTACTGAGCGTCATTCAGATAAAAATCTAGAAAAAAAATTAAATAAACAAATTAAAAATAATTTATATTTTAATATTTATATGTTGACATTTTAAAAATCCATAGATTATAAAACAAACTCAACCTTTAAAATTATATAATATTCTTAAAAGTTAAAACTATC